GTTCTGGACCCTTACTAGAGCTTTGCTGCAGGTGCCAGCTAGGGTCTTGCTAAATTACTGAGATTTTACTGAGCAAAGTCTTACCAACAAGTCGCTGTTTTCAAAAACTGCACTTTTTTAAAATATCCACATGCGACTGGCCGTAAAAGTGAACCTTAGGTCAAAAATGTCCAACTTTACAGCAGAAATGAACATGTTTACAGACTGAAGAGAATGAGTATTAGAGTGGAAAGGGGACAAAAGTATGCAAGATATGTCTAAAACAATGACAGCAATAATTGCTGCTGCAAATTAAATTCTGAAAAGTTACAGTTTTAGTCTTTTGGAAGCATTTCTGATGGTGTACTGTAACTCTTTCCTTTTTTTAAACTGTTTTCAATCCACCAAGACGCAGCATCATGTTTGCTAGAGTGCATGCTGGAGGCAATTTGTGCATTTCATTAAAACTGGTTGCAAGCCTTAGTCTTCCAGTGATTTGTGTGATGGGAGTGCTGTAAATTCTTTTCCCAACCTCCCATGAATAGTCACATAATTTAACAGCGACTGCAAACTGAGGCGACAGATTGATGAAACCATCTGGCAAACTCACTTTCTCGGAGTCCGGGCACCAGCTTGAAAATGATCTCCTCCAGGGTGTTGTCTAACCTGAGAATATGACAGTGAGAAGGAGGTGGAGGGGATGATGCATCGGGGGATAACAAGAAATTAAAGTAGGCAATAGAAGTTAAATGGTGGAGGTGAAGGGAGCGATGAGGTGAGGTCAAGCAGGAATAAAAGTATCCAAAGGAGAGAATAGAAGAGAGAAAATCAGCTCGAGGTGTTGAAATACACACAAAAGCAAAATGTAGAAAAGTACAATTGAATAATGGAAACACAAGAAGTTCAGAGAAGAATGAAACTCTTAAAACTGGCATTTACAAAACTTTGCAGCTCTTTCAAGATTAAATCAAAAGAAATACAAAGAGAGCCCAAAAGTGTCCAACATGCCAATGACAGGAAAAAAACAGATAAAGTGAGAGAAGAAAAACATGTCAAAGTTACCTGAGCATCTCCAGTGGGTTGGTCTCATGGACCTGAATGCCACATTTAGGACAGTCATTGCTCTCCTCAAAGTGCTGCACAATACAGCTCTTACAGACTGCAAAAGAAATATAATCAAAATGAGCTTCTCCTCTAGATTAAGGCAGGTAAACCCATCTTTTAAAAGGTCATTCAGAATAAAAGAGGCAGAGAAATGAGCTGTTCATCTGTGAAACCATCATTTTGCCTTGTCATTGAGGTTTTTTGGGGGCAGCGTGTTAGCTTGTCTTGTTTCAAGCTGGTATTTCAGCTTGCTAAGTCACTGACAATTACCAGGTTGTCACGATCTGCTGCTCAAACCGCCCAAACTAGTCTCATGTTGAAAAAGGGGAAGCCTCCAAATC